AATTATATAAGTTTAATTTTTGTTAAATATTGTTTAAATCCCGGCTAATACATGTATTTTTAATTCATATTTTTGCCAGATAAGATAATATAATATATATTCCTGCATAAATTATGCGAGTTTTATTTATACCAAAAAAAGGAAGATCGAAACCAAACAACGTATTAGTGATTAGTCCGCATATTACACCAACCAAAAGAGCCCTTAGTTGTGAGTTTTAATAGTTATATAAATATTATGACATATTTAATATAATAAGTTTTAAAAATACTTATTTCTTTTTTACATTTCATACAAAGTTAACTATATCATTTAATTGACATGAAAGGAATACTTTGGCGCCTAGGTAATTGCAGAATTGCAAGCCATTAGTCTAATGACACGTCCACAGGAAAGAATAAGAAAAGCCAGCAAATTTTGCAGCCCTACGCCTTTTCTTATTTATTTAACAACTTTTCTTGTTTTTATTATATAGGAGGTAGGGAATAGAGAATGAGGAAGAAATTAAAGGTGGAAAATAAGTGGGCACGGACATAAGAATTGGGAAATTCCTAAATTAAGTGAAAAAAATTTAGGTTGAAAATGATATTTGAAAATTAGAGTTGTGTTTGGACATTAATACAGTTTGAAGCTGTTTTTAAATTATTGTGAGTGCTTTGATGTGAAAATTTTGAAAAACAGCTTTTTGGAGTGTTTTAAATTCCGAAATTCAGCTTCAAGTGAAAAATAGAAATTTTCATGGCCAAACGCTAATTCCGAAAAAAAGTGGAAAAAAAAATTGAAAAAAAGGAATCTTTTTTTATTGGCCAAACAGGCCCTTAAACTCTTTGATATTTCTTTCTCCGATCTCTTCCCTTTTTTTTCTCCTAATGACAACAATCATTTAAGTTTTACGGTTTAATCTTAAAACTTTTTGTATTGAGTTCATTATATCTTTAAAATTATGAATTCAAACATATTATTTGTTATAATTTTAATAAATTTTTAAATATAAATTTATGTTCTGATATCCAAACTATCGGGTATAAATCCAACGCTGGACCATTGCCTTGGCTCTGCACATATACTCTAAAAAATTGGGGGGCATTTGCATCTATACCCACTTTTTGGATCACGTTTTAACTTGTGTCCGCTTTACAAAAAAAAATTGAAAGTGTAGCAAAGACAATCACGCAAAACTTCAGCATTCTAGTAGACGGGACCGACAAACTTGTTTTAGCCTATTTACACCATGAGCGTAATCCTCCCCTTGTTCATAGGTATTTGTTTCTTTCACTTTTTCGATAGTTAAGAAGACGTACTGTTGGATATCTGTGGGTGCATTGTCTACAGCTCCTAACATCTTGTGAGACTTGAGAGGAAATGAGTCCACAACGGAATCTGGAGCTGGAAGCGAAAGCGTAGATAGCGAAAGTGTGAAAGATTGTCGATGAATCTCATCCAGGACCTACAAAAAAGAAACAAAGCCATTACTAAATATGTCAGGTCAAAGTTTTGCAGTCACATAAGAAGCCAAGTATGAGTTCTTCTTTCCTCTACAAAAGTTTGTCCCGTTTGTGAACCAACCTGTTTGATTTGGCCATGCTCTAAAAAAGAAAAAAAGAAAAAGAAAAAGGAAGTTGTGTTGTCTGGTATGTCAGGAATGGTGGTAGTATTAGAGAATTAACCATAGTGCCTTTCAGTTGTTAATAGAAGAAGAAGAAAATGAAGGAGGAGGAGAAGAAAGGGGCTGAAGTTATTTAAAAATTGGGTACAAATTAAAACTTTTAAAAAAATTAAGTATAGGTTAAATGGGGGCGTCAAATAGGGCGCCCCGTGAAAAATTGCCCATGGTAAATTTGATTATTTACTACAACAACCAGTGACTTAGCAGAATACTATTGTCTATAACCAATAAAGTAGCAGATGTCTTGAACAGTGCATAAGCAGTTACGCTCCTCTTTTTCTGCTTGTTTGGCCTAGCTTCAAATGGTCCCCTATTTTTAATACCTTTTGTATTTTTAACTCTTTCAGAAAAATTTACGGCAAAATACAAAATTAGTCGGGTCCGCCGACACCAATTACACCAAATAATTAAAAAATATATATAATATATTATGTATACAAAAAATTATATATTTTATTGGTTATTATTTTTTGGAGGAACTAAAACATATATTTCTCAAAACTTTTTACATGAAGAACTAATCCAAATAATCGCTCACCTAATCTTTCAAACTAAAAATAGCCGGCGAATATATAATATATATATATAGTTCATGTATAATATATGTATAATTATATACAATCAATGTGTAATATATGTATATCGGTTGAAAAAAGTAAACATTAAATCTAGTCGGTTATTTGCGTAACAAACTCAAGGCACCAATCTGAGGGTCCACAAGATCAATGAACAGAGCCAGCCCACTTCATAGGCCCATATTGTAGGGCCCACTCTCCATTTCCGTATAAATGCGTGTCAAGTTTGTGTTTCTTGAACAAAAAAATCATTTTCATCTTCTTCACTGCCCCCATTGCCTTTCTTTCATGTGTTGAATTGAAAGGCATTCGTCTATCTACACTCTTATTTTATGAAAAATAATTTTTTTTTAACTAACTACATTAAAGGACTGATGTTTGCGAACGAAGTTTCCAGGCATTGAAGGACAGATTAACTTCAGCACCGGTTCTAACGCTCCTAAAAGGGACCGATGGTTATGTTATCTATTGTGACGCTTCGGGTGTTGAATTGGGTTATGTATTGACGCAACGTGGTAAGGTTGTAGCTTATTCTTCTAGACAACTAAGAAAGCACGAGAAGAATTACCCGACCCACGATTTAGAGTTAGCCGTAGTGATTCATGCACTAAAGATATGGAGGCACTACTTGTATGGCATCATGTTAATATCCATATGGATCATAAGAGCATCCAATATATCTTCAAGCAAAAGGAATTAAATTTATGTCAAAGGAGATGGTTGGAGCTATTTAAAGACTATGATGTTGATATTTTATACTAGGGAAGGCGTACGTAGTAGCCGACGCTCTCAACCGTAGATCTATGGGTAGCCTGTCATATTTACAGCTAGAGAATAGTGGAATAGCCCATGAGATTCATCAGCTATCTAATCTTGGAGTTCGGTTACTGGACTCAGGTGATATTGGATTTACTATTCAGGATACGGCAACATCCTCTTTAGTAACTGAAGTGCAGGAACACCAGTACGAGGATCCTGTGTTAGTTTATTATAAGGACACAACCCCTCAAAAGGAGAAACACCATTTGAGATTACAGAATATGGGGTCCTCAGACATCGAGGACGATTATGTGTCCCTAATGTTGCAGGGTTGCGTTAGCAGGTTATGGGAGAAACTCACTATTCTCGTCATTCTATCCATCCAGGAGCAACTAAGATGTATCATGATATTAGGTAAGTATATTGGTGGGACGGAATGAAAAGGATATAGCGAAGTTTTTTGCTCAATGCCCTAACTGTCAGCAGGTTAAGATTGAGCATCAAAAACTCGGTGGATTATTACAGGCTATAGAGATTCCGATTTGAAAGTGGGAAATAATCAATATGGATTTCATTGTAGGTTTAACTCGTACACAACGTAAGTTCAATTCTATATGGGTTATTGTTGATAGACTTACAAAATCAACCCATTTTCTGTCTGTTATGACTACATATTCCGCAGAGGATTCTGCAAGGCTTTACATTAAGGAGATAGTATGAATTCATAGTGTCCCTATATCTATTATCTCGGATAGAGGAGCTCAGTTTACAGCTAACTTCTAGAGGTCTTTCCATAAAGGATTGGGGACTCAGAAACTAATGTCTTCGAAATATGATTACGACAAAAATTGCATACATGAACTTAATATGCATAACTAGTATTTATCATAGCAAATTTGATATATGAAATTACCTTGATTTCTTTTATACAACAATTCTTTACCCTAGTGAAGCATAGCAATATATGAAACTCGGTTTTATATCGGGCTTCCTACGACCCTACCGACGATAAAATTTACTCATATCGAGTATTTACACCAAATTATATAAACTTACCATGATTAGGTGATTCATATATTAATTAACTATGGTTAAATAAGAAAGTGGATGTGCAAACACATATCATGCATTTATTTGTTTATATGGTGCAAATAAGTTTCTATGGAAATGAAGATATGAATGGAATGTGATCAATAGCGAAACCAGAATTTTTACCAAGAGATATCAAAATATAAAAAACTAAATACGCCAAAAAGTTACGGGAAGTCAAAGTATAGTAAATATACATAAAACAAAAAAAATTTACCTAACAATACAATTCAACGTTCCACACTACAACATAAAGTATCTATAGCTACGAAATACATTGTAGCTAAATATAAAAATTTATGTGGCTAAACACTTTAGCCACAATATTTTTTTCCGTAGCATTCGTAGCAAAATGTAGCGTAGCTAAAAGTTAGCTACAAACTTTACATGTTCCGAGGCTAAGGACTAATACTTATTGTCACGAATTCTTTTTATGTTGTAGCTGTGATAGTAAAAATTTCTTGCCACAAAAAATATACTTGTAGCAAGTGATTTTATTCTTTTGCCACGACAAATAAAATTTGTTGCTATTTTCATATTGTAGCTACAAGATTTTGTGTTGTAGCAAAAGATTTAATTTATTTGCCACGCAAGCTCAACTTTTGTGGCTAAATTTATAATTTATTCTCGTGGCAATAGTAATTGTGTTTAGCTATGAGTTCAAAAGTCCATAGCAATACATTAAAGTATTTGCCACAATAATTTTTATATTGTAGCTAAGAATTCATACTTTTAGCTATAAATTCCATAATTTCGTAGCAATAAACTGAAAAGTTTGCCACGATCAGCTTTAGCCACAAGAATTTATATATTGTAGCTAACAATCCATATTTTAGCTCAAATATATAAATTTTTAGCAAAATATATTCAATTGTTTTTAATAAATGATATACATTAGTAAGAATACATAATTAAAGGTCAACAGTATCATTCAAAGATAAATTAAAATACTAAAATATTGTTACACTCAAAATGTAACAGTATTCTTTTACAAGATAAAGAATAATTTCATACATAATTCTTTTACAATACGAATAATAAAGTTTTAAAAGAAAACTAGCTAATGTGAGACTGGATAGTGATGATAACCATCAGCGGACTATGAAGAGAAGTGAAAACCCAAAAGTGCTCCAATGCTTTTCTAATACCAGGTTCCGATCGCGAGTTGAGACACATTAGTGGATTGTATTTGTACCAAATGCGTGAAAGAAATTGTTCTTCTTATGGATATCAAGAAGGGCGCAGTAAAGACTGCCATGTTACCCTCCTAATCTTGCAGGACTGCCACCTTCTCGTCTACAATTATATATGAACGAGTCATAGACTCTAACCTGTATATAAAAAAAAATGACATCCACGCCATAAGTTTAGTACATTAACTAGTTGGGACTTGTTAATCACGTTTGAATTGAACAACCGTTTCTTTGGTAGGGTAAGATTCTGCCAGAAACAACAACCTGCTTCTTTAAAACCTTAAGATTATTAATGTAATGTATATACCAAAAGACTGGAAACCGTTCAAAACATAAGCCTTATTTAGCAGTTCTTAATTTGAAGCACAACACTATAAGAAAATACTACCAACCTCATAAGTTGCATTCTTCTTAGTATCTGATAACGAAGCGTTTCCAAGTCTGAGGTCTTGTAAATCCTTAAGTTTGTAACTGCCCAAAAATTATATTCTCATATTTCTTGGATCAAGTAAAGATCACAAGCTAAACTAGTTCAAATCACACCCATTTCATAACAACAAACAGTCCTAGATTAAAATATTACTATTCTCAATAAAATTTCAGAAGTCCTATAGATTTTAACAAGAATTTTGTAAATACTCCATCCTTCACTGGTTAGTATATCCAATTGAATTTGTTTTGAGAAAGAGTGAAGTATCATATATACCTCATGATTATTACACTTGTTTGTTTCTACATTGATGCCCATAATGCAATTGCCTGAAAAGACTCATTCAGGTTTAATTAAAAAGGAATGAACCTCATCACCATAGTGCAACATAAATTTGGAGCATATGCTTACAAATGATTGTGCTAATGCATCTCATAATTTCACCCTTATAAGTTGTTGGAATATTTATACTGTATGTTTGAGAAGTTTTCCTACTATCTCAGCAAATTCATTGGATAGCGTCTACAAGTGTTTAGGAGTTATGGCTTTATCCTAATTGTTGTATTGAAGTTTTAGAAATAAAGGGATGGTAATATTTTAACAACCAACTCTTTTTCACCTATTTGCATGCTTCCTTCATTGCTAGCTGCCACAAGAAGTGCAAAAAATATATAGAAAGCAAAGATGCATTTCCATATGACTATTTATTTAGTAAGTTACACATCAAATGAATACAGATACTCAACCTATATCCACTCAACTGATCATCAAGTTTGGGTGAAAATTGTGCCTCGCGAACTCATTTGCTCTCTGCAAATATTCACATAGATATTAACCACTACAACTGTGAACAATACCTACTCTAATAGAGAAAATTTATTAGCATAGTTTTTTTGTGTGCATATAACTGTAAACTGTGCACAACCCAAAAAGCCATTTAAGATCCCAATCTGCAAATGGAGGTAATGAAGAATAAACAATATACAAGAAATTATAGGAAAAAAGGCTTGTCCTGACTTAGTATGACATAAATCAAGATTGAACTACTAATTCCCATTTCATACAACAAACTAATTTAAACAGATTATAAAAGGCAAATCTAGGAATTAAAATATACAAAAAAGCTCCTCCATTCATAATAATTGGAGACATTCCAAATTCATTGCTTTGAATTTGGCAATCTTTTAAATTCTTGGCACTAATCAATATAGCTAAAGCAGGGATTGACATTTTTCTGCCACACTGTAATGATGAAACTGAAAAGAACTATTCCCAATCAAGAATCTTAGGAAAGCAGTGGTAACAATCAAAATTAAGAAGAGAAACAAAAGAAAGACTAGGTTGGCCATACCTTGACGGTTATGTTTTCCAAGAGGAGGACGAGGGTTCTGGGATGGTTGGTTAGAGTGTGGAAGGATTGGGAGAGATGGTGCCGATAGATTTTGGGGGGAAATCGTATGGGAGTCTGAATTTTTTTAGGTCTTTAAGGGAATTGAGAGAGGCGTAACTTTAGGTCTTTAAGGGAATCTTTTTTTTTTTTTTTATTCTTTCTATTTTTCGTTTCTTATTTATTTGTAACTTAGCCTTTAACTTTTCATATATTTGTGCACGAGTACCTACACAATATCTATATCTATACTATATTAAAAGCACGAAGGCCCTTAGCGAAATATTGTTCGTTTTTTTTACCCTTTTAAAATAGTGTTCACACCAGACAAAATAGTCATTTGATTATTCTGCTAGCTAATATTTAGGAGTTTAAATTAAACCAAATTTATTACTTATTAAATATTTCCTTATTTGAATCAAGTAATAAGTCCTTATAATTAGGACTTTAAAATCATTAAAATTTTACCGTATATAAATTTTACAATTAAAGTATGATTAAATTATAAAAAAACTTTATGCCTAATATATTCCTTATTTGAATTGGGTAAAATAACTAATCTTTAACTCCAAAAATATGAACCCTCTCACGCTAGGTAGACTTATAATTTATTTTTATTATAATTATGAGTATGTTTACCTAAACATTTGTAAAGTTTAAAAGAACGAACAAAGCCAAAAAAAATTATTGATTGGAAACGAGCATTTTAGATTTGAAAGTATTAATTAGTGTAGTTTTCGAAGAATTAATTTTGAAAGTTACCTACATAGTTATTTTTTAAAAATGTTAATTTTGAAAGTTAAATAATTTGAAAGTATATGATAAATATAAAGTTCTGAAAATAAACCTAACTAAAAATAAAATATTTAAGGTACCTAACAATCTAAAAATATAGTTGTCACAAAGTTGAAGTTGGTCAACATCTTCACTTTTATAGCTTTAAAAAACTAAACTGTTCCTTCCACAAATAATTCAACGTTAATAAATTATATTAACATTTAAATTTTTATGTAATATTTAAAATTTAGAATCCAACTAATTACATATTTTCTCCATAATTTTGATGGAATATAATTTAAGTATCGATGTTAGCGCTATTTTTCGATAGACGAGTCTAATCTATCTATCTATTGACACAATATATCATATCAATATGAAATATTAACATGAAATGTTGATCAACTTTTATCCTTCATAAGTGACGTTCATGTTGAATAGAAATCGTAATTATAATTAATAATTTATTTTTAGTAGAACTAACATTTAAGATTTTAAGGACTTTCATGCGGTAGAGCTTCTTTCTTTATTGAGTAAACTTTTATTTTTGTAACTTAAACAAAATTTTCAGTATAAAAAGCATATAATTCATAGAGGCATGTTACACGCGCAAAGCGCGCACTCTAAGACTAGTTATATAATAAACTAAAAACAAAACTAATGTAGTAATAATAAATTTTTTCTAGCAAAACAACAAATAAACAAAATGGGAACTAAGCTATTGTGTATATAATGTTTTGAATGTAGATCGTAGAAAAAAATTAAATTGTAATAAAAATTTATTTAAAGTATAAATAGAATATATATTTTTAGAATTAGTTACAATTTTTATACATCTATAAGGGATCGTTTGGTTTGAAGATAAGTTATGATGGGATCAGTTATGCAGGGATTAGTTATCATAGTATTATTTCTTATTGACTGTTTGATATATTATATTAGTTCTAGAATTATCAATTTTACTAATTTATCCTGGATTAACTTATATTGGGATTACTATTCTACCATCTAATGGTATAAGTTATCCTGATATTTTTAATCTTGGAATAATTTATCCCAAGATTAGTAACCAAGTAAGGGATAACGCGATACAAAATTTTTATTTCAAAATTATTTTTGTTTATCCATCATATCAAATACCCGTTACAGTTGTTTCCTTTTATAGAGATTGATTGTTGTAGACGTATACAACATTTAACATCTAAATTTTATTTTGTTGTTATAAATTAAAAATATCCAAAAACTCATTGTTTTAATTTAGTTATGTCATAAAAGATAATAAAATAATTTGTCTTTAAAATTTCAAATGATATTCAAATTTCATTAATTAAAAATTTAAAAAGCTAATACAATATCAATAAGGTGGAATGTGTGAACAAATATTAGAATAGAAAAAGTTTCTACTTTTATATTTTCCAAAGTTTTTTTCCCTAGTTAACAGAGTTTTTTTATGTTCCCGATTTTTCATTAAAATTTACAAAATTTATTAAAGGTATGTCTCTAACAAATATAAATATATTGTTTTTTTATTTTATAAAATAATAAAAATATAAAACAACAATTATAGAGATATTTAGCTAATGATGTTATAGGGAGATAGTTTTACAAGAGTGTACTATTATAATGATGGATGTTGATACTGTAGGAAAATATTATTAAAGAGATGTAAAATATAAAATAAAAATCAAATCCAAAGAAAACTTATTTGTTACCACAAACTGATGGTCTAAAAGTTGATTGTTATAGAGAGATTAGATTGTACAACAAATGAACTATTATTAACTAACTTTTTATATTAAAAATTAATTAATTAACATATTTCTCTAACTTGTTACAAGATCATAGTTTTAAAAATTCTATATAATTTTTTATTCACACATTATATGTAAATAGTTTCATTACTTTTAGTTATAATTGGAACTTACAAGTTATATTTATTTAATAAAATTATAATTAATTTGTTTGAGTCGAGGGTCTTTCGAAAACAGCTTCTATACTCCTCTAGGGTAAGGGTAAGTTCTGCGTACACTCTACCTTTCCCAGACCTCACTTGTGAAATTTTACTGGGTTATTGTTGTTGTTGTTGTTGTTGCTGTTGCTATGGACTTAGATATCAACCATATTAGATTCATAATACTTAATGTAGTTCAATATATGAAAATTATATAAAAATGTAACAAACCTTATCACATTTTTTTATATCCTGAAGCAAAAATATTCATTTAACTACAAGATGTTATTTCAATAATTTAATGTGGCTAAAAATTTACTATTGTTATAGTTTGTTTTAACTTGTGAAAAAAAATTAGTGATTAGCTATGAAATTTTATCATAGCAATAAAATTGTAGATATATCATTTCTCATGAAAAATGATTATATCTATTTAGCTAACAACTGGCATAATTTTTAAAACTTCAAGAAAATTAAATTACGACAAATATAAAATTGACCGGTTGGGCAAAACTAATGGTCTTCTCTAGCCAAGTATATAAAATATGTGTATTATATGTATATCATACAAATATATACAAAAGAGATGTAATCAATTATTATTTTTGAGAGCGACTAAAAATATACGTTTCTCATAATATTTATTTAGATACAACATTTGATTTCAAATAAATTTATTATGGCAAGAAGGTTACTTGTGGTACAGTAAGCTTTAATCGTGGCAAAAACATATAATTAACTACAAAAAATTTTATAGTAATAAATTTGTGGCTATATCATTTGATCATAACAACAAAGTGCAACTATTAAGCCAACTATTGCCATATATTTATAACTTGAAGCAAAAGTATTTATTTAGCTATAATATTTTATTTTAAATAATTTATTATGGCTAGAAGGTTACTTTTGCTACAGTAAATTTCAACTTGTGGCCAAAATATATGACTAGTTACAAAATATTATCATAGCAATAAATTAGTTACTGTAGAATTTTGTCATGACAATTAATTGTAGCTATTAAGCCAATTATTGCCATGTTTTCTTAATTTATAATTTAAAGTAAAAATATTTATTTAGTTACAACATTTTGTTTCAAATAGTTTACTGGGGCAAAACGGTTACTTCTTCTATAGTAAGCTTCAACTCGTGGCAAAAACATATGTTTAGCTATGAAATTTTATCATAGCAATAAATCTGTGGCTATATCATTTTGCCATGATAACTAATTGTAGCTGTTAAGCCAATTATTGCCACAATCTTTTATAACTCGAAGAAAAAAATATTTGTTTAGCTACAATATTTTGGTTTGAATAATTTATTGTGGCTAAAAGGTTACTATTGCTACAGAATTTTTAACGTGTTGCAAAAAGCTTATGATTAGCTATAAAATTCTATTGTAGCAATAAATTTGTAGCTATTTAGGTAATTATTGTCACGATAGTTAGCAATCATAGCAAAAATAAGGAATTAGCTTTGCCAATTTAATTTCCGTAGCTACGGATTTTTAGGATTTTATAAATAGCTATGAAATTTTTATTTTTGTGGCTATTGTTAGGTAGCCACAATTTTTGAATATGTAGTGCGAGCAATTGTTAGCTATAGATATATTGTGTTGTTGTAGTGCGAGCAAAAGAGTATCAATTTGACACCCCTTAGTTGAATGGGATATTAAGAAGGACTTGAGATTGTTATCCAAATTGGAATTGGGGGTGTCAGGTGTTGGACCATTTGTAGAGTTGTTGTTTTCGTTAAAAAAAAAAGAAAAGAAAATCAAGTTGCTATAAGGAATTATAGAAGGCCATGACTCCAACTGTTTGCATGCCTCTTTTCTTAGGGGCTCCAGGATATAACGTCCCTATCAACTATCTTTTCTCCAAACAATTTGCTTCTGAAAATAACTCGATAAAGCACTCCTACCAAGAAAATACTTCATTTCGTGATCCCAACGCTCATAACGAAAACCCCCTATAGTTAAAGTTATAGAGATTTCAACCGCACACCTTCCTTTGGTGGTCCGCAAATTTGTGTTTCTAAAGAGAATAGGAAAAGGCCTGATTAATTATACTCCCATATTATATAGAGAAATTTTCATAAATTACTAATAATTTAGAGCCTAGTAACTATAGTTTGCTTAATTATCGTTCATAGTTATTATTCAATTGTTACTAACTTACATCAACATGTATATAAAAGATACAACATATATCGACTGTATATAAGGATGTATTCAAAGGATATATCCATCGTATCAACATGTATACTCTATGTAATATGTATCTTTGGGAGCTACTTTTTCCAGTTTATAACCTAATAATATTACTCGTAACCTTTTAAATGTGAAGATGTATAATTATATTCTTAAGAAAGAAAGTAATATCTGGATATTGGATGGAAATTTAGGTAAGCAAGAGCCATATCTG